AAATGCATGTGTTTTCAGGAAGTTGATAACTATGATACGAGAAATGACGTTACACCGCCCGGTGTTTTCGCCGACGTCCGGGGTGTGACAAACTCACTAAGCTCTCGGGCTTACAGTTGTATTTTATTGTTTCAGGTACATCAGGGGATCGCGGCAAGGCGAAAGCGTGATCGTACAGCTCCTCATGATTTGTTTATGTTTCTGGGAAAACTCTGATATTATATATTTTGAAAACAAAGTTGTAAGGATTTTAATGGTTTGAAATGCTTTTAAAAGTTTAAATTGGCTTGAATTTTTGGGTATCACAGCTCGACGGCTCCGAGAAGAAGAGCTTTCGGCTCGGAAGTTCTGCCCCTGCAGAGCACGGCTTCTAGCCAAACCCCCTCGTAGGTAAGATACGTCTACCTAATTTTTAATATAACTTTTATTTAAATATAGTAACGTTATTAGGACCTTATAATAATTATTTGAGCTATTATTATGAGTTATATAAGTGTCGTTATAATATCTTTTTAACCACTCGCAGTACGGGGAATCCGGTTTGAAGGGCCGCATGGGTTGTTGGATTTCAGAAGTGCTATATGCCAAAATGATCTTGCCTTCCGATGTTTTATGTCTGGCCCCTGTCTGTACATAGTGGTTGGAAAATATTGTTTAAACGCTTATATAATAATAATTTAATTATAATAATAATAATAATAATAAGACTAATAATTAGTTACGGTAAATATTAGACTAAAATCTAGTGGTAATAATACTAGGTTTCGTCGAAGGAAATTATTTTAAAGTAAACGAAGCACTGTCCGAGTACCGAGTCACCGCCTTATCAAGTGAGTGCGTAGTTACTTTCATCTTACACATATATATGAAGTATTTTATATAAATTATGTGTTATGTGTGCATATAACCTGTATACTTGCTATCTATGCTGGATGAACGATTTTATATACATGTTTTAAATAATTTAAACTGTATATGTATTTTATGTCTACGAATATGTTGGGTAAAACATGGGTAGATGAATGATGAGAGATGAAAGATGATATGAGTGAACATTGGCAGCTATAGACTTAGTGCCTAATAAATAACATCGGCAGCTATGGACTTAGTGCCTATTGGATAAACGCCGGTAGCTATGGACTTAGTACCTGTTAGATAAGCGTTGGTAGCTATGGATTTAGTACCTATTAAATAAACACTGGTAGCTATGGATTTAGTACCCGATGAATGAACTTTAGCAGCTATGGAATTAGTGCTTTACGAACGAGCATTGGCAGCTATGGACTTAGTGCCTGTCATATAAACCCTGGAAGCGATGGACTTCGGAATGAACGAATGCATGATAGATGATTCTTAGGGTAGACCCTTAAGAATAACGAAGATAATGGGGATGGGTATTGGGGTAATTGTTTGACGATTAAACATAATAATTATATTATTATGGGTTGAAAACCCTATGTACTCACCAGGTT